ATCTTTCTCAGCTGCTCGGTGACTTTTGTGCCATAGCACTCACTTTAACGTGATGATGTGATGAAAAGCCATCGAGCTGATAGGTTAGGAGGCGATCCTGTTGGCGTAGCGCATAACGCACTCACCCCTCGAAAGAAATGTGGGTTCGAGTCCCGATTTGAGTCGAAACTTGGCATGACTCAGCATTCTTGTGATAGCATTCAAACTTCAACAATTCTCTGAGAAGATCAAAAACATCGGTTATTGTGGAGGCTCCAATTTTTCATTGCACCCTATACCCTGTTGGAAATTCATTGGGGAGAGGGTGTGTACATTCAGGTTGCAGCGACATGCAGAAACTAGCTACCTTTGCTTGTCAACTTGACATATTGCAGCGCTTCCGCACTGTATCAATCGGTTCCTGGTGCAAATGTCGCTTTTGTGACACCGCTCGCAACGCATCTTTCATCGGCATCGTCTCAGGCCGATCCTTTGGTACTCTAATATGAACGGGAGACGGGCAAGAGAATAGAGAATAGAAGAGAATAATTTGCCGCTCCGCCGTGTGCGGCGATGGGCGCGGCGTTTTCTTAACTCGTGTTAACTTGTCGATTGGAGCACCGGACTTCATGTAGACCCCCGTCATCGTAGACAGTCATGTCTGTTTCGGTTCCGAATTGCTTGTTGTCGCCATCTACTGGATGGAACATCGTCATTCGCGGGCGCGACATCGCATGCGACGTCTACTAGAGCGGCGAATTACGATTCTCTTGTCACATACCCACCATTAACAAGAGTGGTACTCAAACTTGGAGCCTAACTGAATATCGCAATCCCTTCTTTCCGATCTGTTTTTGCGCGTTTTTGAGAGCGCGTTCAGACTTTGCGATCGCGCGATCCTAGTCGAGCGATGCCATCGCGCGATCCAATCGCACGATCGCGAAGTCTGAACGCGTTCTGACATGCGTTTGAAACTTTTCGTCCTTCTGAAGACCAGAAATACCGACGATATCCCGCTGTGATTGGATATCCTTTCAGGTAGTTTCCGTTCGTTGTGGAGATAATCCATACAAGTCGGGGAACGACATAGCTCAATTGACGGTGCGAATGCATACCAAACAGGTAGGTTCACCATGACTTCAAGTATATATCTACGGAGATTTTTCATTTTCTTTGCCTCTGTGTTGTGGTCCTAATGTTTTATTGCAGAACAAAGTCAGCTTTTGTTGTTGGTATTGTCTCTAATCTTGTTTCAGAGGTTGGCCGTATACGATCGTTTTGGACATTTGTTACTTGGATCAGAAACGGAACCACGAGGAAGTAGTGGAATATGTAGTGTTCGAAAACCACATTGCAGTCGTGGATGGTATGTGGCGCCTGCATGATAAGGTTTATCCAAGATGGGTGCAACCAAAACAAGGTCCACTGATCACACATGCTATTGGTGAGTTCTAATTGAACGCAATTTCTTCAGTTTTTTTTCCTATTGAAAGAATTTATTTCGTTGTTTTGCTTTTTGGTAATTGAGAGTAGGTGTTACCCTCATTTATTTTCGTGTGGTAGTTCACCGTTAGGAGGGGCATTCTGTGAATTCCTGTTTACATGCCGAGCTGTTTCGAAGAGTCCTGCAAAGTTAGAAGTAGTTCTACTTTCATTTTTTGTATATTGACATAGCAGAACACGGTAGGTGGGATGGGATATAGGGGCGTGGGAATGTCGTATCGAAAGAGAAATTTTTAACAGGAAAAGTGGTTTAGCAAAGTATTTCCTCAACGGCAGGGCATCTCCGTTAACGGAGCTCCCTCTTCCTTGTATGGCTTGCTTCTATCTCCTGCATTTCTCTCGGGTGGAACGCAAACAGCTCCCAAATGACAGCCCCCAAACTTTTTTCAAGTTATTGAATGAAAACTTTCGAGCTTTGAACTTTGTCAGCTCTTCCCAAATTGACTTTTTTTGTTTGAAGCAAGGGAAAAAGAAATCCAATCTTAGTTTGGCAAGCACGGAATTCTGAGATGGCTGTGAAGCCGGATCGAGTTTATATGGTCTGCCGCGGCGAGGCAGCTGGGTTTTGTCACAGCATACCAAGTGTGCAAGTATCATATACACAGTTCCCGGTTTATGCTTGCAAAAGCCTCGCTAGTAACCCAGAGAGTACCCGCTCCTATATCTAGGAAGGATAGGCACAGATCTAACTCGGAAGTTCCAGTCCTGATGCCATCTGAAAGTCAGAACAGTGAGATACTGTATAGTTGGTCCGGGAGACCGCCCCCTAGACGTCTCCGGATGCTGATATCAGATCTGACTTCCAAATCTGCTAAACGATTCTGGGTGGAGAGTTACGGACCTTTTTTGCTACCGTGCTTAACCATTGCGGTGCGACCCCCCTGCCGGCATGCTTTGCGCTCGTAAACCCCTCGTGACCCAGCTGCCGCCGTGGCTCGATGGCGCAGCAGGTAAGTGGATGGCTTCATAGTAGTGAGACGGAGGTTCAAATCCTTGATGCATTTCGTAGTTTTGCTTTTTCTTGAAACGCATGCTAAACACTTGGGAAGTAGTTTTGCGTACCTGTCCGACCACCAAGACCCCCTCCCTGCTACTTATTGAGCCCCGCGAACGATTTTCGTGGAAACTTACACTTTTGCCTAACTAGCTCAAGCAAGGGACCAAATACACATGCATATCTGCTTGGAGCTCGTGAACTGCGAGATTTCATCATCCTATAGGATGACAACGTGTGTGGCCAACGAAAGAATTCGTCATCTCTGGTAGCTCTCTTCACTCACGCCCACAATATCAGCCAACATCTTTGCGACCTGTCCCACCAAGTTTGGATAATGTTCTGCCGGACTCTGGGTGCTATCACACCTAGTGAAAGAATTCGGGTCTTGCGATATTGTTTGATCACTATCCCGCAAAGAAAAGAAGATTGCAGAGAGTTTCTATCCTATTGTGCGCGACGCACTGTACTACAACCGTATAATCGACTGCGAGGGAGATAGCTTCGTGGAAGGACGAACATACGGATCCTTTCTGGGCATCTGAAGATAACGATGAATCCCTTCAGAGCATCTAGATTTGAACAATTTCTTTCTTAATCCTGGTATTCAGCAGGTTACCTTGACACTCATCCAGACGAGTTCGAGAGTTCTCTCCAATATTGCATTACATATCATCTGGAGGGAATCTGTGAGAATAATGGTTGCAGCGAAATTCTTTTTATTCGCAGCTCACACTGTGAAGAACTTTTTTGCTCTAACCATTTTGTATTGGGATATCACACGTGCTTCGCTTAAAGGAACAACCTTCGATAAATCGCAATCACAGATAGTGCATCAGGGGTTTCGCATAGACTAGACGACAATGTGCTGTGTAACTCGGTAATGAAAAAAGGCAGAAAAAACTCGTCACCCGCCTTACAATTAGATAGAACCCCATTTCAAGCCACTTCGTACGTGGTGCCAGTGAGCTCCATCTCCTACACTACGCCCTCATCCACACAGCTTATTCACTATAAGAACTCTACGACCTTACAAGTGAGCTTACGATTTTCATGCTTTTTCGTCCTGCAGCTTCGTTTTTCATTGGATGATGGGCTTTGAAGTCTGGAGACCGAGCCAACTGGTAAAGGAGTGTCCTCTTTGGAGGTATATTGCGTTGTAGCACCCCTCCCTAACAATTTTTTCGCCGTAAACCAGTACAAGGTTGTTCCTTGCGGACCACTACCCTCGCGACACCATATTTCCAACTTTATTCCTGATCGTGACCAAGCCTTTGATGTTTCCCATTAAATACGAAAATATATGCCTCGAATGAAGCTGTCACGCCAACACCATCAAAATGAATGCTTTCACTGAAGTTAAAATAAAACCCCTGAAAAGTCGCACATAGGCCCTAATAAGAAGCAGGGAGGGGTCTTGGTGGTCGGACAGGTACGCAAAAAAAGACAGTACGCGCAAAACTACTTCCCAAGTGTTTAGCATGCGTTTCAAGAAAAAGCAAAACTACGAAATGCATCAAGGATTTGAACCTCCGTCTCACTACTATGAAGCCATCCACTTACCTGCTGCGCCATAGCTACGCGTTCAATCTTGGGCGTCACGAGGGGTTTACGAGCGCAAAGCATGGGCAGGGGGTCGCACCGCAATGGTTAAGCACGGTAGCAAAAAAGGTCCGTAACTCTCCACCCAGAATCGTTTAGCAGATTTGGAAGTCAGATCTGATATCAGCATCCGGAGACGCTCCTAGGAGTATACATCTCATTCTGAATGGCCAGGACGAGTTGGTATCCTTCCCTTGTAAGTATCACCACCGTTGCTGTCTTTTTCAAGCAAACTTGGGCTGCAGGTCGGCTTGGAAGGGGGAGGGGAAAGTTTCTTCAACTAGTCCATCACCGTCAAAAATAGCAAGTCTCCTTTGGCTAACGTGAGACGGTAAGACGGTAAAGAACGTGTAACTATGTGAAGCTGCGCAAATGGTGCGAGTAAGCACATGAACTTAACAGGTCCTTCAGCAAGATTCTTTAGATCGCTTCTAGTCACCCCGTCAAGATACTTAAAACCAGAAAACTAACGCGCTGCAACTCCAAAACCTTAAAATGATTTGTAGGTGCGTAATGACTTCGCATTTTCCATGTGTATCTGGTACAGTTTTTCCGAGAACATCTCAGTTTTCTTCTTTTACAAGAAGGGTTTCAATATCTCTGATGATTTTCTGTTCAGCTGACGGAAGTGGAAGTGAACGACCTTTACAACCGTCGAGTCTTCCACTACGTGCCCAAGAGCTCGAAGAACAGCGCAAAAAGGACGAAAAAGAAGGGAAGACCAGCGAAGAAACGTGATCCTGCTGGCGATTCGCTAGTGTCGACCTGTAGTGCTGAATATTGTGCCTTTAATTCTCCTTGTTCTGTACATATGCAGAAATTAGTAGATTTTTAGTAGCTTAACATATGTTAGGATAGTGATTCAGGAATTTGTATAGGTTGTCAAGTTGTTGAATTCTAAAGTTATTCGTAGGCTTTGGAAACTGTTTTCGTTCATAAAGATATATTGATTTCAGTGGTTCTTCAAACTATACATTACTGTGGTACAAGCCTTCAGATACATTGAAATATTGTTTTTGTTTGCTTTGCTATTTTAATTCCCTCGATATCGATAGTATTTGTAGATTATGTCTTCCGCCATTACCATCACCAAGAAGGAAACCGCCAAGGAGAAGGTAAGTGAGAAGTTTCATCTTTCACGCCCGCGTTCAAAAATGGCGATTTGTGCAACTCAAGCTAACGATAAATAACCCAAATGTGGAGAGAAAAAGTCCTGAAAACGCGCGCGAGATGCCCCGTGTAGAACCTCACATGGAGCCGCGTCTGCGCATGCACAGAGCGAATAAAGGGCGTGGTCGGACGAGTTCTCATTTGTTGGTGCCTGCTTTCCTCATCACCTCACTCTCACCATTTGAAATAGACAGAGTTATTTACGGAAGAACCTCACCATCAGCTAGCAGTAAAAAGTGAATGTTGGACGTTGCTGTAGCCAAAGGGCGGGGGCGTGGCTCCGTCACGAGTGGGCGGCGCTTTCTTCACTATTTTTTAGCTGCAAAAGTAGTAAATCCTGCCTGCAGGCACAGGACCACCAAAAAACATCAAATGAACGCAGGGCGTGCATTTAAGCGTTCTTTTTTTGGTGCTGTGTGGTTTTTGACTATGAATACCCAAACATATTTAGGTAAAGAAAGCAATAGACGATGAGGAATTTGAAGAGTTCCCAGTTCAAGTAAGGTTTTACCTTTCGCTATTGTGAGATCTGATGTTGATTATTAGCTTTCATAGGAATGGGCAGAGAAGGCTGCTGACGGAGATGATGATGAAGTAAATGTATGGGAGGATAACTGGGATGATGAAACTCATGAAAGTGATTTTTCCAAGCAGCTCAAGTAAGTTGTTTGTCCTGTTCTAGTCAGTTGATTCCTTGCTTATCGCTCCTTTTTATCCCATTGTTTTTAGGGAGGAGTTAGCGAAAAGTGGTCAAACTGCCTCGTAAACTCTGACGGGATACATTGTCTGTATTTTTCTTGTAATGTATTTCTCGACGTAATAAAATTTAATCTATGTAATGTAATGGTACACAAAATCTGCGCTAGATTTGTGGCATTCGATGACAACAT